ATATATTATGGGTTCTCAAGAATGGTAATGTTTGGCTCAGTATGCGGGGAACACATTGATTGAGGAACACAATTGTAACATGAGTTCAACAGCCTTTATGTAAGCAACTATGATATATAGCTAACAATAAGTTATCCATGGAATAAAATTAGGAAATAAATTAATCCGATCATGAATGTCTGGATTATCTCCCAAGATTTAATTAAAGATTAATTATATCATTTGAGAGATTAATAAAAACTGAAATAAAGATGCTTAAATAGACTAGATGCCAGAATATATTATTTATGTGACCCAAGTTAGCCATCCAGTAGTGAATCTGGAAACTAATTCCTGTCACCTAATAGTCTATAAGTAATTAAGCTTATATTATGCATTGTGGAATATTAATGCATAGCATGGCTAGTATTGTTAGCACATGTTTATACTGTATGTAACTATAATGCTGACTTATTGTCATGAATTAAAATATTCAATTATTGTTAAGAGTTAAAGGTGAGAGTGATAATTCTGGATTAATCTAGGTATGACCACCTGTGAAAAATACATACATATATAATTTCTCTGATGAATGTAATACATTAAGCAGGTATTTTTTAATTGAGAAATAAATCAGTATATACCTGTTTAATAATGAAGGAATACATGTTCTGTATCATGAAAGCTATCGAGAGGTTTTATAAATAAGCTACACTTCAATAGTAATAGATGTGTGGTACAATGGGTAGGGGTCAAATGATGGGTTTTAATCTATTACAAATGTCAAGTGTTTTAATCTACTGTAAATGTTATATGTTTTAATCTCCTGTAAATGTTACATTAATTGAACTCGAGTACATGACATTATTTCAAAGCTGCATATTTCAAGCTGCATGTATACATCTGGATGCCATCAGTAAGCCAGAACCAAATCCATCAATGCTATAGTCATGCATATAAATGTCAAACTGACCTCATCTCATACATATTTTTCCTGTTCAGAAATTTGTAAGTAAAAAGTAAAAGCAGATAATCTGATCAGTCTACAACTTTCAAATTGGCTTGTAGATGTTTGAAGGTGTACCAATGTCACCTTGACTCAGTACCAAATATTCATGCATTTTCAGTATTAAATGTGTTACCATAGAAACAGAGAGTGCATCCCTATTTCTATGGCATGCTTGATACTCACAATGGGCCATTATATCCCATGTTGTCATGGTTTCTGTATCAATTTTACAGAGTATGAATGATGTCATGATGACATTTAAATGAGGTTGGGATATGTATGGACTTAATCCATATTAAGCTCATAAGAAATTTTTACAATTATGATATTAATACTATTTTCAGAAATAAACTTAGATTGAGATAAGTAACATTAATGATGAGGACATGAATTTGGAAGGGATGAATTCATTTGAGATTAGCTACTGCTTTGTGTTGATAAATATTGCATAGATGCTATAAGTATATGCTTATAGTTTTTTGTTGGTTTGTTTTTGTGTTTTTCAAATGTTTCCCTTTGTTATAAGTCATCACAACATAGAATAATCTAAGACGGTGGAAGAAAATAGAAGGAAAGGAGTTGACTATGTAACCACATTAAGCTCAGAAATATTTGCTTCTTCAAATTTGGTGTGATAACCTGGTCTTAAAGCTTCATGTTTTTACAGCTAGAAAAAAAATTACTTGCTATTTGCTCCAAAAACAAGTAGCAAATTCCTCTGTCCAGGTACCAAATGATTATATTAAGAAACAATTTTTACCTGAGCCTACTAAAATAGAACTCTGGGTAAGTAAAACAATAACAAATGCCACTTGAGAAAACCTGATAAATAGTAATAAACTAAGTATAATGTTATCACTGGACATGTTATCAAATATATACATACTGATTCAATAGAATCAAGAACTAAATAAATAGAGATTATCCTATATGAGGTTCAGGATATTGGGATTATCCCGAGGCAAATATAATATATTTGCCCGAGGGCCGCAGGTCCCGAGGGAAAATATATGATATTGGCCAAGGGATAATCCCAATATCCTGAACCGACTATAGGATAATATGTTTATCCCATACCAATCTTGTGTCATCTGGTTAACATTGTTCAATCATGGAAATATTTTAGAATACTCATGTCCAGTTTTGTTTTCTTGGCCGTGGGCGGATTTTCCTGTTCTCTCAAATATTCCCATATTTATTTTCTCTAACTTTTGATTGATTAAGTGGATGCTCCTTCCCTTTTTTAAACCATCAAACAGATCCCGATAGTCTGTGTTTTCTCCATTGTCGTTTACAGTCATTACGCGAACGTTACAAATTATGAACAAATATGCGAGCTGCGATTATGACGTAGCGGGCAGATATACTATATCTGCCCGCTCGGAGCGGGACGTAAAGCTATATCTGCCCGCTGATGAAAATATAAGTTTTTACAAACCGGCTTTATGTACCTGTAACACGTCCAAGTATGGGATAAATATAGATACTATACACCACAATGGATTCCAAACCACTTAAACAAATGATTAATTTCTTGCATGAAGTCTAATCTTAACAATACAAAACACATGGATTATTGATTGTGGAACCATTACATGAATATGAGACCAGTAACACATTTAAGTTTCAGTATGCCAATTGGTTCTGCGTAGCAAAGAATGTAGCTTTCTCTGCATTTTAAAACATGTACAACCATGCAAAATGTCACCACCTGCCATTTGTTGCAGACACCGAATGCCAGAAGCTGTACACCAACAAAAATATAAACAAGGCATTAACATGACAAAATGTCACCACGTAGTTGCTCACAATATTGTTAGTTCAATCTGAAGTCAGATTTGAATTTCTGAAAACTTGCATCTATGATTTCGAAAAAATGGTCAATTTGAAGCAGGTTGAAAAAATACCCTTTTTGACCCTGAGAAGGTCATTGAAAGTGAAGTCTCAAATCTTAAGTCAGATTTAAACTTCTGAGAACTTGTACATGATTTAGAAAAAATGGGTCAATTTGAAGCAAGTTGAAAAAAGGACCTTTTTGACAATGAGAAGGTCATTGAAGGTCAAACTATAGTCAGATTTGAACTTTTGAGAACTTCTAGATGATTTTGAAAAATTGGTCAATTAGAAGCAAGTTGAAAAAATACCTTTTTGACCTTTTTTTACCTTGAGAAGGTCAAATCTCAAATCTGAAGTCAGATTTGAACTTCTGATAACTTGCAGATGATTTTGAAAAAGAAAGTGGTCAATTTGAAGCAAGTTGAAAAGGTCATTGAAGGTCAAATCTTAAATATAAAAGTCAGAATTGAACATCTGATCTGATCGCCACCTACCGATAGCCAACCACCAATCACCACCACAAAAAACGGAGACAATCACAATATGTCACCACTTGATGCGTTGACATAATTTCCTTTTGTGTTTTAATCCAATACCATTAGTATTAGCTAACATTTTCATTCAGTCACTCAACAAAGAACTGCTTAAAATGATAATTTTCATAAGTGCCAATATGGCGAGTTTATCACATATGTGAAAGCATCTTATTACAAGCACCTTAGATGATAAATTGTTCAACTAGGCGTAACGGACAAGAATAATCAGAGATAAACATAGTCTTTAACAATAAATATAAATGTGAAATAAGGTGAACTTACATTATGAAAATACTAGGAAGAGTTTAGCAATAGGAAGTAGTCATTGATGCTAGTAACGTATATGTATATTTGAATTACAATGAAGAAAACTGTATCATAGTTCATTGGATTCAAAAGTATTTATACATGTACTAACCCACCATGATAGTATACTCAGGCTCTGCCCTCATACTAATATATATGGAACATCCACTTATGCTTTTGAATCTCCAATAAAGAATGTTGCAAGATTCTTTATTTCTTAACTATATGACTTGATGCAAAATTCTAATTCAAGATGTGACATACGATTATTAGGAATTAAATATCCTCTATTTTTCATGAGTTTCCCCTGTGAATCAGAAGGATGTAAAGTTTGCATATAATGGCATAAAGATTTGAATTAGATGTTGGATGTAAGATATTTTTCGAATTCCCATCCATTAGTGCATTGTCCAGTCCAGTTTCATGAATACATGGGGGACCATTGATATGACATTTACAAATCCCTCAACCCCACAAGCGTCACTCATTCAAAATAACATAGATTTTTATCACTAAAAGGTCGTATAAATGAACTGCTTACCCGTTTTCATAATCAAAAATAGATCAACTCATCACCATATTCCCCTGATAAAAACACAAGGTCAGCAACCTACTTTCCACAACCAACAACCCATTTTCATGCGAATCCATAATTAATTCACCACCATTCAGTTGTAAAAGAATTAGGTTGATGAATGTGAAAAGCAAAAAGCAAATAACTCATACCAACGCAACAAGAGTAATATACTTTGCCAGCGTAGAGTATCCTGATTCAACAATTTAAGACAGTAAGATTATATTGATCCTTACATTTAGATGACTTTCTGTCATATTTGCAATTATTATGACAGTATGTCAATATAGAACCTCAGTTAAAAGATGCAAGTCAGTTTATTCCGTGTTCAATCATTCAATGAAAAATAAGTGTGATAGACAACTTGATTTATACACCACTACTAAACATTTCAGTTTTTAGTAGTCATGGTATTGGTACCTGAATGTATGCTTACTATAGCGTTACATTCTCCACTTGGATTTTTATCAACTTGCTGCAATTTTTTTTATCTCATCTACCTATTCTAATCTAATGAGGAAACATCCTTCCACAGTTACTAAAGTAATTTCATAATGTGCTGTATTTACTGTAGATTCTCAAATGGGTACAACAATCTCATATTCTTTATTGAGTAGAGTAATAGCAATGTGAGATGCAAGTGTTCAAGTAACAGAGGTTTTCATTTCAGGGGAGTATTCATATTGACAGGTGTTGCTGTATTTAGATAGATGATTGGCTCATATACAATACATGTAGATATAAAAAACGAAGTACTTACATCAGAATCAGGTCCTGTATCAGAACCAGGGCACTGGAACGTGACAAACTCATGGCAACGTTTGTGCACAACGAAGGCACAGACTGAAAAAACAAACAAGAAAATGTTAAAATGACAGCGAATTATACCAATGGCAATGGTTGTGCGCAATGGAGGCACATGCTGAAATAAAAAAAATGAACAATCTTAAATGGCAGTGAGTATATACCATGTACGAGGGGTGATCAATAAGTAATGGACGCTTTTTTACACAGATGCTTTTTATAGACCAATCGTCCAATCCCTTCGATTTTCTTACCAGTTATACATCATTCAATTATCTATCAACTCTGAAGATTTGAAGACAAAATAATTAAGACATGTTGATATATCCTTATTTCCGTGAAGGAGGTACAGGTACCCCGGGACCGACATTTACGTCACATATTCTGAAGCTATTTTAGCTTGTTTAACATGCAATGCAGTTGAATGCAGGCTGAACAAAACAAACCATTATGGTCATGAATTACCCCATTTTGTTTTGCCATAGTTGATTTTGAATATTTTATCATCACTATGTGGTATTCATGCCACATTCATTCCACAGGGCCCTCTAAATAGGTTCCATCAAGTGCCACATGTACACAATTCCTCATCCTCTTAACTCAAGATTGTGAGACAAGGCTGAATCCATTCTCTGACATGGTAGCAAGATGCAGTTGCACGGGTCGTTTTATTTCATCAATGTCAATAAACCTGCGTCCCTTCTCTATAGAAATGAGTAGTATAGAAATAAACAAGTCACATGTGAGCAGATCTGGACAATATGGTGCATTGGCCAAGGGCTCAATTTTGAGGTCCAGGGATATTGTTTTCTGAACATTTTGAGATCTGTGGGCAGGTGCATTTTTCATATGGAGTAAGGTTTTCCCTTCTCTCACCACCCCTTTCGTCCACAATGATTTCTCAAGTTGACCTGCAAACCCCTTCCATACAACACTCTGACATCACAAAACTTTCTGTTTATGTGTTACCAGTCAGCAAAAAATTTCAAACAACACAACACTTGTTGCATATAAAAAGTTCAAATCTAACTGAAATTTACCAAACTAGCTAAAAACTGAATATGTGACGTAAATGTCGGTCCCGGGGTACCTGTACCCCCTTCACGGAAATAAGGATATATCAATATGTATTATATATTTTGTCTTCAAATCTTCAGAATTGATAGATAATTGAATGATGTATCAGTGGTAGGAAAATCAAAGGGATTGGTCTATAAAAAGTATCTGTATAAAAAAGCGTCCATTACTTATTGATCACCCCTCGTATATGGATGTATGAATGTATACCATGAAAATGCTTCTACAGGCAGGTTTTGGACTCACAGATGTTTTTGTATGTCAGGTCAGAAACAACCTAAAAACTCACATCAGTATAGAACATATACAAAATTTGATTTTTTTTATTGAACCTGCACAAATTGGTCACACCTTACAAGGTTAACTTGCATAAATTGGTCATACCTTACAAGGTTAACTTGCATAAATTCGTCACACCTTACAAGGTTAACTTGAATAAATTGGTCACACCAGTTACAAGGTTTACTTGCATAAATTAATCACACCTTACAAGGTTAACTTGCATAAATTAGTCACACCTTACAAGGTTAACTTGCATAAATTGGTCACACCAGTTATAAGGTTAACTTGCATAAATTAGTCACACCTTACAAGTTAACTTGCATAAATTAGTCATACCTTACAAGGTTAACTTGCATAAATTGGTCACACCTTACAAGGTTAACTTGCATAAATTGGTCACACCTTACAAGGTTAACTTGCATAAATTGGCCACACCAGTTACAAGGTTAACTTGCATAAATTGGTCACACCTTACAAGGTTAACTTGCATAAATTAGTCACACCTTACAAATTAACTTGCATAAATTAGTCTCACCTTGCAAGGTTAACTTGCATAAATTAGTCAAACCTTACAAGGTTAACCTGCATATAAAAAACTGGCAAAAACACAGAGCAGAAAAGCACTGAGAGGCTTGAGAAAAAACATTTACGAAATCTCATATGTTACATACAAGCATCTCTTTTTAGATCCAAAACATAAAAGTACTACTTGAGAGATTGCCGACAACATAAACAAAGTTGATGTTGAAACAGCATCAACCATAAAATAAGATGAAGATTCTTAAGCAAGTAAAGACTTAATAATTGTTTCATCTTAGATTGCACATATCAAAGCATCAACATCGTTACAGCTCTAAGTTCTGCAATATCCTTCTACACCTGGTTAAGAAAAAGCTAAGATAAACTAGTTCATCTGAGGGAACATAATCAAAACGCATGTGTTATCATAATCCTCAGTATAATATATGAGACTCTGAGGAGTTTATGTTCCAAATTAGTTCACTGAGTCTCATTCATATCTGCTTTTCCTTTAGTGTATGCGGTTGCCTTCTTTGGTAGAAAGCAACTTACTTTTTCACCCATTGGAATACATGTAAAATTGGCAAAGTTCAAATCATAATTTCTCAAATCCCAGCCCATCGAATCCTCACATCCATTCAGATCATGTAGTCCTATTCAAAAACTTCCCGTTCGGTTATATGGTGAAAAAAATATCCCACGAACGAAAAAAGATTTTGCTACATTTATAAGCGAGCATTGATTTCTGGGCCTGTAAAAAGCACGTAGGACCTGATTACCCCATTGATTTACTGAGACCGCCAAAAATTTAATTCAATTTTTTGGTTCAAAATAATAATCTGTCAGCGGTCCCTGACACTCCTACTAGCTATCACCAAACATTAATTGCCAATACATGTACACATATACGTGCCATACATCTACAAAGTAGCGAACTAGTGTATTAAGTACTACTTTTCCTATACGATGAGCAAAACAAATCTCAGGTAGGTTATATTGACCCTATTAGTGCCATGGTTGATTGAATATGCATTTTATTCAATATGAATTTTAAAGTTCGGGGTTTTATGAAGTGATATGTACATTTTTGCTCAAATCCCCTCAGCACTTTTGATTCTATAGGGTTCTCTTGACCCCTGGGGTCATTATATTTTGTGACAATTTATTCCAGACTAAATGTAGTTATTTTGTCATTAAAATATCTTATTAGAGAAACGTTCAGGAAAAGTTGCGCTATCCACAAGACTTCTTGTCACTGCACTGATAAATGTAGCAAAATGGTCAAAATAATTCAGCCTTGAGCATGAAATTTTTGAATTTTTGGACAAATTTTGGGCTATTTTGGGGGATTTTTGCCCATAACGATACTAATCTACTTAAAACAGCTGTTTAAAGTTGTACAAATTGCTTAAGTGATTTATATTCTCTCATAAGTAGGACTATTTGCTACTTTACTAAACTGAACATCATTGATTTTTCGTTTTTCATGAACTTCTGATGGCTAGTTCAAGTAGCATTGTCTTTTGTGCAGGTTTACTGAATACGTCCCTTTAAAATTGGGTCTTTCGTGGGTTTAAAGGGTCAAAATGTTGGAACTTTGCACACTGTGGAACGTTTGGGGTGTGTTTCCTTTAATTTGGCAAGAACTGCATCAAATTACTTGATAAGAGAGCAGAAATGTAGCAATTTAGGCTGAAAAGTACTGTTTTCAATGAAAAAACGAAAATTGCTGACTCAGCAAAATTTAGATCGTCGTCTCCAGAATTTTAGGGGTTAATTTGCAAAACTTTAAATGGTCCCATAGAAACATATGCGAAATATGGCTAAATTCGACATATTTCTCGAAATTCACTGATAAATGTGGTTGATATTAGGTAGAAAGCAACTTACTTTTTCACCCATTGGAATACATGTAAAATTGGCAAAGTTCAAATCATAATTTCTCAAATCCCAGCCCATCGAATCCTCACATCCATTCAGATCATGTAGTCCTATTCAAAAACTTCCCGTTCGGTTATATGGTGAAAAAAATATCCCACGAACGAAAAAAGATTTTGCTACATTTATAAGCGAGCATTGATTTCTGGGCCTGTAAAAAGCACGTAGGACCTGATTACCCCATTGATTTACTGAGACCGCCAAAAATTTAATTCAATTTTTTGGTTCAAAATAATAATCTGTCAGCGGTCCCTGACACTCCTACTAGCTATCACCAAACATTAATTGCCAATACATGTACACATATACGTGCCATACATCTACAAAGTAGCGAACTAGTGTATTAAGTACTACTTTTCCTATACGATGAGCAAAACAAATCTCAGGTAGGTTATATTGACCCTTTATCAACCAGCTTCTTGGAAACATTTTGTTGATTAAGAATTCAATTGTTTATATTTTTGCCATTTTTGAAATTAAACAGATAGATTTGATTGCTACCATTTGGTTTCCTTTATACTGAGGTACACAGGAGTTGCACAAACCTATGCAATTCTAATACAACTAATGCCTGGGTCACATTTGCTCCGATCCATCGGCCGGCGCCTGGCTGATTGAGTGTTTTGTTCAATATTGTATTCGATTATGAACAAAATACTCAATCGGCCGGACGCCGTAGCGAAAATCGGAGCAAATGTAACCAAGGCATAACAAGGGCTTCTTATCAACGAGCATCTATGGACCTTATTTCATTTTTAGGTTCATCCAATATAATTAATAATAAGGGTCCAGGTATAGATTTACCAGCAACGTAAAAAATCCAGGAATTAATAAAACTGAGGACTTGGAAACTGACACTGTCACGGATATTGTTGCCATGGTGTTTTTATCAATTTAATAAGCACAACAAAAGAGTATGCGAAAGAGAAATCTCCATTTTGATAGATTCATGGTTCATTGGTTTCTAGCTATTTCATAAAAAGGATGAGTTTCATTAATTATGTGAGCATTCAATAGCATCAGGTGCAGGAAAGATATTGTAGAATTCAAATCAAAGAATTATTTATAGGTTTACAGCTTTTTATTATCTTCATAAACCAATCCATACAAAATGTACTGGAGCTAAGCAGTACAAGAATTATTCAATTTAACATATTTGTCATCAAAACATTAAATAAAACATGCTTTCTGCCCTTAACAGTTATGGGGAAAATTTACTGAAT